TGCTATGTTTTTATCATGGGAATATGTACGTACGATTATGTGGTTTGTACTTGATTTAAAACAAAAAAATTAAATTAAATGGTTACATACCTTTGCGCATTTTTTTTAATAAAGTTAAATTTAAGTGAACCATTTTGAAATACGAGTGATTTTACTCTCTAGAAAATAATTTATGCAAGCTCACTTACGCAGTTTTGCATTATCTTGTTACGTGGTTTTGTATTTTGTTGATACGCGGTTTTGTACTTTAAACGAAGATATAGATACATGTAAGGATGGCCATGAAATATTATTTGTAATATCGTGTTTATATGTACGACTATTTACAGATAGGGCTTACCTAAACTGAGCAGATTCTTCGCCACATCCTCCACGTATTCGAATGTGTGTGGATCTTTGTAGTACGGTTCGCGATAAAGCCGTTGCATGGATTCTTTCAGCCACATTTTTGTGTGATTATACTCCTCTAAATGGAACAATTGTTTGCCTAACACAAAGCAATCTTGCCATGTCATGCTAGTTCTGCAAGAATGTAAAATTAAGATTAAACATAACTTAAACTTAAGTAAGACAGAAAAGGATAATGCTGTTTTGGGATGATTTGATAGAAATTCTTAAGCAAACAGTTCTCTGACGAGGGGACTTCTGTCGAGAGCTTTCCATCAGTACTAAGTTTACTCTTCGGGCTACTTCAATGTATTATGTATTTATGGCGAATTTTCTCTGATAGCCAAGCGGCTATTAGGACTTTACGTGCGATAGAGGTGCGCCCTAATGTGGTAAAGGGATGTCTGCTCTCTCTCTCTTTCAGTTGCTTCCGCATTAGGCTCATTTGAGTTCCGGGTCACCGCGACATTGCGGGGAACTGTGAGGCTGACGAATTGGCAAGGAATGGTAATAGGCTAAGGATGAAGTACTTTGGCTAGTTATCACAAATTTAATAGCCCTAGGACCTCTGGGGCATCGAGATTAGCCAAATTCGTAATTAAATAATCGGTTCGAGGCGTTTTATCGATTGCGTGTTGGGTGTCGTTCAGAATGTGGTATCACAAAGAACAATCTCCCAATTGTCTAAGTGAGTTCCTGGCACATGCAGCCGCCACCTTACCTAGCTTAATACTATACTTATGTATATGTATATGCAAACTCATCGAAGTTGCTTTCTTCCTATTTCAGACACTTGAGACACTGATTGTTCTGTATATAAGAACAAGAATTTTTTGGGAGAGATTTAGCCTCTCTCAGCATGTCTAGCTGAAGGGTAGGTAGATTTATGTTAAAGTTGTGGAGGAGTCTTTTAAGAATAAAGGCTTTGTAGTTAGTTGCTTCCTTGATGCAGAAAGCCATTTAATGCCGCACTACCGGGGAAAAAAATTAAAGCCCTGAATAAGCTTGGAGTCGAGATCAACTTAGTTAGGCTTGCTGTAGCGGAAACAAAAAGATCCGGATACTGGTTAATCGTGATAAAATTCCGCTGCATTAAGGTAAATAAATGTTTGCATATTTTTTATAAAAATATAACAAATCCTACAAAAATCAGAGAAACTTTTTGAAAAATTCTGCAAATTTGTTTTCACTAGTACTATGCACTTAGTGGTAATGCATTTCCCATTTCACTGCCACTACACGAATAGTGGTAATGAAATGCTCAGTGCATTGAAAATTTAGTGCAGCGTGCCCAACCCTGTGACTAAGTATGGTTGCCGTATAACATTTTTCGTTTGTACCATAATTTTCCTTTAAATATACCAAAACAGATTTAAATGCAGCATGTTGAAATGGTTTTTTGCTGAAGTTTTCGGTTTTGGTAGGTTGATTGTTGAAATGAAAATTTTATAATTTTAAAGCTACATCTGTAGCTATATCTATTACATTTTTTTTTGATCAATGATGGGTGTTTGGAGGAGATACTTTTGTTTTTGAATGCGTCACTATGTGATATCACAAATGATTATGAGAAAAATAACTTATTCATTCCGATATAATTAATTTGTATTTTAAAAAGGTTTTTCTTATTCAAAACCACTCAATTGTATGAAATGCCAAATGGGGGAAAATGTACCAAGCAGAATATAAATTGCCAAATTAATCACCAGTGGCAACTGTGCAAGTGATCAGCTGTTTCGAAGTTTGCAAGTTTTTGCACATTTTGCGTTCTCGTACTTCTGTTGCTATTTCGTCTCTTTGAGAGCGAATGCTGCTAAATTCTCAGAACTTTTGCTGCTGGAGAATTTGATCCTCTCAATACGAGTACACACCCATTGCTTCTTTACGGGCAAATAATACGTTGGGCATTTTAAACTAGTGAATTTTTGTAGACAATCGGAGTAATCAAAAACATACTTACCCGTACTTAACACCATTTAAGAAACCTCCAGCTATTTGTTCTGTATCCAGATGATAGGTTTCCTGTAACCGGGCCAAAGCAGCTGCGGACGCCTTGAAGTCCTCTTCACTGGGAAAACTTAATGTTTCTCGGTACTCAGCCATTTGCCGCAGGAATGCTATACAATATTTGGTGCTTCACAGTCGTTTTTTTTGGAGGAGTTATAATATGTACTTCTACTCACTCTTTGCCGCCTCATCGGTTTGCACGCGCTCTTCATATATTGTCCAGTCGTTGGTTAGGCGTTTCATTAGCCGATAGACATTCACAGGATTGGTTAAATAATTTTCAGTATTGCGTGATGCCTGCGCATATTCCATTTCAATGCGATGCAATTCACTAGAAGTGTTTTGAATAAACAAAATTTTAAACAAATTAACTTTTGGCTATACAGTCTATGTAAATGCTGTCAAGATATGTACATTATTTTCTACAACATTAATTTAAAGA